GTAGCTTTGGAGCCTATCCTGGTACTCCCTCTGGAGACCAGGCTGGCCTTCAACTCACAGAGATCTGCCTGCCTCTGCCTCCCAAGTGCTGGGATTAAAGGTGTGTGCCACCAATGCCCGGCTTAATATTCAGTTTTCTTTACCACTGAATAAAATTCCATTGTATATGTACTGTATTTTCATTATTAATTCAGCAGTTGATGAACATCTAAGCTTATTCCATTTACTATGTACTGTGAATTTGGAGTTTCTTATGCCTGAAAATGTTGACATTATCACTGCTATTCTTGATCTCACTTAGTTGGTTCCCAGAGCAGCAAGAAGTAACTTTTCCATTTGCCTTTCTGGGTTTAAATACCTTAAAGACAGAGAAATATCATTAAAGCAGGTGCCTTACATGAGTCAACTTTTTTGGATCTTTTCATTGTAACCATAAAGTATATGACACCCATGGACCTCTGGCCTAATTCTCTTACGTGACTACTCTTTGTGTAGCTAAAATACAAAATCTAACCAATCTTTTATAATTAGGTTTTTAGATGAATGAGAATTTTAAGACATTGGCTTCCTCACTTTATTTTTTTTGTTTGTTTGTTTTGTTTCTGTTTTAAAACCCCAAATTTACTTTTGATTAGCAGTCAAATTCTAAGCTTCTCTGGGAGGAATAAAATCTGAAAAGGAAAATTAAAGTTGCACATGTTCAGATGTATTTGGGAGATTTGTGCTGAGGTTTATTTGAGCATGGAATGGAATTCAGAACTCTGTGGAAGAAAGCTGGTATCTAGAGCATTGATGTCACACAGCATGTGTCCCAGACTGGGGAGATGTAAGAGCTAACAATGGCTGTCCATTCCAGCAGGCCACACTTCTGAAAGTAAGTTCTTCAAAGACCTCAGTAATTGTATTGTAGTGCACAGAGTCCAGCATTGAGTAAGATCTCTGGTCTCTTTTTTTCCTAGCAGCCTGCACAACACCTTCTGAAGCTATGGAAGCTAGTCATCAGGGGAGAGTTTCCGAGTCAGTTTGAGGTTGATTTCTCTCTCCTGAAACCAACCTGTGTGATACCTTCAGCAATAAGGACTTAACCATCTAGTTACGGTGGGCAACAAAGAACATTGACAATACCTTGTGTTTTCTTGGGTGCTTCTGGCTTCTCCCTAACCAGTAACTTTTAGGAAGTTAACCCATGCTTAGCATTGTTTCCTGAGGTTTATTTTGGTTGTCTAGTTGTATTTTTTAAAAAGTTGGCTTTTACCAAGCAATGAGAAGAACCAGAAAGCAGCAAGTGAGCTTCAGTAGCCAGAATTTTATTTCCTAGGTAACTTTCCCCCTGAGACTGTCAGAGTTAAGTGTAAAGAACTTGTTTATTCCAGATGAGAAATGTTGAAGATTCAGGCCTGAGAAGGACAACGGGAGCTTGAATCACCCATCCCACCCCACCTCTGCCTCCCATAACACCCACTATTTACAAGTGGGTTTTCAGGCTCTCCGAGTGTTGGAGTTTTGTCTTAGAAGTTGTCTTTCCTGTAAAAGACCTCTGAAGCTCACACTCAGGGTGGGGTTGGATGTGACTCTGAGTACCATCATAATTCAGTAGGGCCCAGGCATGTGGGAAGGAGGCACCTCTAGCTCCAGGGTAGGTCCTTCTATTTATTACTTAAGGGTCTGTTAACTTCTGCCTGCCTGCCTTCCACTGCCTGCACTTCTATCCTCAGTCTGTCATTTAGCTCTCTTGCCTCAGGATTTTACATTTGAATCCCCTTTGCATGGAAGCTTTCCTTCTTATCTATCTTGGGCCAGGTAAAACCTCTCTGGAAAGAGTCCCTCTGGTTTACATGTAATCTGTGTTTGAGGTCCATTTCCCCTTCACTGAAAGAAGTGTGTGGAGGATGCTGATGGCTGTGTGGGAGGGCGGCCACATTCACTGTTTGTCTGCACTTCTTTGCCCAGGTATGTCTAGGTTTTTTGACGTCCGAGCAATACTCATGATTATCATTGGTTGTGGGATCCTGCTGGCCATGTTTCTACTGATAGGAGTTGTCCTCTGTCTTTACTTGAAAATAACCAAGGCACTGAATTATTCATGTCGGTAAGAATGAACAATACCCCAATCTAATGTGTCACTGGGCCCTTTGCTAGAGCAGGGTCACTTCTTACTGCAGTGGCCACTTGAAGGGGAAAGTCGAGGGCCACTGTCAGGTCTGAGAGGGTGGGAACAGGTGGGCACAGAAGCTTGAGGGTTTTCCTTATAGCTTGGGGCTGTGTGAGCTTACATGCCCACTGCTCTCAGGCTGGACACTATGTGCCAGCATCGATTTCTGTCACTTGGCCTCAGGGACTGTGTCTTCAGGTGTTTAACAGGACCTTGGCTGAGCATCCTTTCTAGCCCCAACACTGTGGCCTGGGTAATCCCCAGAGGACGCCTTGGGGATGTGCTGTCTCCCACTCACAGAGTATGGCCATAGTGACCTCTGACCACTCACTGGGAAGCTCACATGGTCCCTCGTTCATTGTCAATGGCTGTGGGAAAGTGAAGTGGGCCCAGAGAACAGAGATTCACTCCACAGGGGGTGGGGGGCAGCTGACAGGGAGGGAAGTCAGACAAGAGATGTTTGAAGTTTGGCAGAGAATCCTGAAGTCTGAGAGGCTGGCTGTCAGCAGTAACGGTGCCCCTTCCTAGGGTCTTAGATGGTGGAGGCCAGAGCTGAGCCCAGCCAACTGTAGCACCTTCTCCATTACTCCCACATCTCATGGGCCTGTAGCAGCCACTGGGGTGCAATTCACTCTCCCTTGTGTGGAGTGGTAACCTGGGTTCACATGCATAGCAATTGTAGGAGAGGAAAAGATGGGAAAGGAGCAGAGAGATTTAGCCCAAGTCTGGTGTCCCATGCATGATGGGCCTCCTGTAGGGATAACACCCTAGCCCTGCCCAATAGTCCCAGGACAGGTGCCAGGTGGACCCGGGACTCGTCCATAAGGGCGTGGTGAAGGAAAGCCGGGGTGACATAAGGGAAGATTCTTAAGGGCTGCACGTGGAGACCCTGGCCCCTTCTCTCTGGCCGCACTAGCCTGGTTCCTGTGACCTTGCTCTGGCCTGCGTTTTGCCCTGGTGTTTTCTTGAATAAAGAAATCTTACCATCACCGACTGGGCGTTCATCTCTGGGCGCACGCAGTAATCCTAAGAGTTGGTGCCCAACGTGGGGCACGAACCCACGACCCTGAGATTAAGAGTCTCATGCTCTACCGACTGAGCTAGACACAGTAACCTAAGAGGCTCCAGCCCTGGACTTTCCCACATAGCCCTCATGATTGTAGAAGCTCATTGGAAAGGACAATTCTAACCTTGTTTTATCTGTGTCTTTTAAGAACTGCAAAAGACTCAGTTGCTACTGTAAGCTGTATTGGTCCATGCAAGATCACCCAAGACAAGATCGTCCGGGCTAAACCCATTGTTGAGTCTTGTCGTAACATCCAGTGCTGTGATGCATGTAGTGTCTATACAGATGTTGGCAGCCTGCCACCTTGCTTTTGTAACGTAAGTGAAGGACTCTGACGTGGCAGTGGTGGATAAAAAGGAATCTTCGTGATTGATATTTCAATTCTTAATAGAATATTTTCTTATTCAAGCCTGTTTCTATAGTGTTTATGTCATATGCCATCTAACATGATATTTATGTACTGTTGTATAAATGGACACTAATGAAAATAATCTTTGTCTCTATTATGTTTCTTAGTTATACTTCTTATACTAATACCCACTACAAGATTTGGGCAAGCAGGTATGTAATACATTTTGGTAAAAATAGGTAAAAGAATAGAAAATAAAAGTGCCCTGTCCTTTCCCAGTGTCAGAAGGAAAAGATAAGTTGATTTCAGGGCACTTCTAACCTTAACAGCCATTAAGTAGGGGAAAGCTAGAGTAATAGGAGCCAGTTCTTCCAAGAGCTTGTTCCTCCTCAATCCAGCCTGTCAAATGTCCTGACAGGAATGTCACTTACTGGGAGAGAGCAGGCACATCCTGGTAGGGTATCTCTGGGTTTTACATCGGCTGATGATTAATGATGGATTTGATCTCTGTGGCTTTTAAAAGAATGGGAATGTAGAACATAATGATGCCCACCTATAATTCTACCTGGGAGATGGAGGCAGGAGGATTGTGTGTTCAAGGTCGCCACCAATTACACCAAGTTTGAGCCAATCTGGACTACATTAGGTCCTTCTTCAGAAAAGAGAGAGAGTATGTGTGCTAGCAGGGGCAGGCAAACCTGAGATTTCTTGCCCCCCACCACCACCCCAATTCACATCTGTTCCGAAGCAGGTGCCCCCTTTTGGTCACTTTTGCACTGGCCAGTGCTGATTCAGCTGACAAAATCAACATACCAGAAACCTGCAACCTAAGACAGAAGCCCAGGTCCCTTCATCACAGGCAAGAGGATGCGCCTTCGGGACTTCTGTTCTTTCTCCTGAGGCCCTGCAGCCCACTTCTAGCATGGATGTCTCACCGTGAATTTCCTCTCTTTAGCTAGGACTGTTCGCACCACAGATATGGTTCATAGAAAGAGATATAGCTAGTGATGGGCTGTCACCTATTAAAGGGGAATTAAAGAAAGAATGGAAAAGGAGATGCAGAGAGCAGCTGCTTCCCAGGGATGGACAATATGTGGGGGACGCAGCAGGGGACCCTGCTGCTCTTCAGGAACCAACCCTGCAGGACTGCTCTCAGAAGCTGAACACTCCAGCCCCACCTCAGCACTAGCCTCAAGATTCTGTAGATGAAACAATCTGTCTCTCTTGAGTTTTCAGAACACTGCCTTCATCCCTTTGATTCTTTTGTCTACCAGTGAGGTCCTAGTGGACAGAGAACAGTTAAATACCTTTTAACCTCAGCCAGTGGGCAGCTGAGGACATGGTGTGGGGAGGCCTGTGGCAGCTCGTCCTTACCTGAGGGACTAGGTCTAGTTTGGGTATCAGAGGGGGCATGAGGCAGGTGGGACAAAGCATTCAGGGGACTTTCATGACAGGCAGTAGGTCAGAGTACACATAGGAGGTTTTAGAACCAATAGATACAGATTGTATTTTAACTTGGCCTTCACGTTGGGAAGTGCCATGACCTCTCCCAGCCATCGGGACTTTAAGTAAGAGTGGGACTTGTGTAGGGGCCATCAGTAAGAGAGGTCTTCCTGGCCCACAAAAACCCTGACTCATGGCAGCGGCACAAAGCAGGCTTCTCACCTACCTGGACTCCAAGTGTTTTTCCATTCCCAGGGCAACTACAAAACCTTCACACACATTGATGCTCAGGGACAGGGGTGGGGGGAGATTCTGGTCATGGGAAGGAGGAGCAGTTGAGGCAAAGCCCAGAATGGGGTGATGGATGATGTACATACAGCTGATTGGGAACTGTTTTTAGTAATTAGAAGTCCACACACAGGTATCCCACCCACTATCCCACTATGTCTCTGTCTCTTCCGTGACTGCTTGTGTATATAGGAACCCAGAAGAGCTGTGTAGGGATCTGGGGAGTTTCCAAGCTCCTTGTGAAAACCACTCCCCCGTGCCATTGGGGTCACCTTGCTGCTGTAGCATTGGGTATGGGGCTAACCCCTGATCCAGGGCTGACAAAGAATGGATTCCCTGGGGCACAGTTGAGGTCTATCCCCTCCCCAAGTTCAGGACTGAATGAGGAAGCCTGGACTTCAGAGAGTCTGGAGTAACATAGAAGAGTGGAGGGGTACAGGAAGGTTTCACTCTAGGTGACCCTGCCTTATCTTTACCTCCAAGGGGCTTCTGGATGATTCCTAGTGTCTTAGTTACTTTTCTATTGCTATCATATGATACCATGACCAAGGCAACTTATAGAAAAATGAGTTTATTTAGGCTTACGGTTCCAGAGGATGAGTCGATGACCATCATGGTGGGTAGCATGGCTGCAGACAGGCAGTAAGGCAGGGCAATGAAGCAGTAGCTGAGAGTTTACATCTGATCCACAAGTACCAGGCAGACAGAGCTAATTGGGAAACCTCAAAGCCCACCCCCAATGACCTACCTCCTCCAATAAGGCCACACTTCCTAATCCATCCTAAACAATTCTACCAACTGTGAACCAAGAATTCAAATACATAAGCCTTATGGGGACATTCTCATTTAAAACACAGCACCTAGAACTGGCCATTCACTAAAAAAGTTCCATTTAGTGAAGTTAGAACAAGATTAGTTATCTCTGCCATATAGGTTTGTCTCCATCAACTACTGCCTGGACTTTCCTCCACCTCTCTCCCTTCCCCTCTCCTTTACACATAGTCAAACTAGAGAAGTTCCTGCCCCAGGGCCTTTACACATGCACTTTTATCTTAAGTCCCTCCAGATAGATGATAAATGATGGTCTCTATCCTTTTGTATTTGCTCCCATTGCATCTTCTCTAGATGCCTTTCCTTTGCCCTAATTTGCATCCTTTCCCACCCAAGGTTGCCACATTCCATCTGATCAACCTGCTTTAACACACTCAACACACTTGCCCCTATATGAATTTTTGATTTGTTACCTATTTCCCTCACTTAGAATGCAGGCTCCATAGGAGTGCCAACTTGTACAACCACTTTGGATATCAGTATAGCAACTCCTCAAGAAAATGGGAATGAGTCTACCACAAGATCCAGCAATTTCACTCTTAGGCATATACCCAAAAGAAGCACATTAATACAGCAAGGGCATCTGTTCAACGATGTTCATAGCAGCACTATTTGTAATAGCCAGAAACTGGAAGCAAAATGGATGGAACTCGAAGAAACCATTCTGAATGAGGTAACCCAATCACAAAAAGACAAACATGATATGTACTCATTCATATGTGGATTTTAGACATAGAGTAAAGGATTACCAACCCACAATCCACACTGCCAGAGAAGTTAGTAAACAAGGAGGACCCTAAGAGAGACATACATGTTCCCCTGGAGAAGGGGAAAGGGTCAACATCTCCTGAGCAAATTGGGAGCACGGGAAGAGGGGGGAGGGAGCTAGGAGAATGAGAAGAGGAGAAGAGGGGGGATGCAGAGGACATGAGGGAGCAGAAAGGTTGAGTCAGGGGAAGAATAGAAGATAACAAGAATGGGGATACCATAATAGAGGGAGACATTTTAGGTTTACAGAGAAATCAGGCACTAGGGGAATGTCTGGAGATCTACAAAGATGACACCAGCTAACGATCTAAGCAACAGAGGAGAGGCTACCTTTAATGCCCTCCCCTGATAATGAGATTGATGACTGACTTATATGCCACCCGATAGCCCTCATCCAGCAGCTGGTGGAAGTAGAAGCAGACACCCACAACTAATCACTGAACTGAACGGGAATCCAGATGCAGAGAAGGACGAGTGAAGAGCAAAGAGGTCCATACCAGGCTGGTGAAACCCACAGAAACAGCTGACCTGAACATCAGGGAACTCTTGCTCCCCAGACTGATAGCTGGGATATCAGCATAGGACTGATCCAGACCCCAGGAACATAGGTTTCAGTGAAGAGACCTCGGAAATCTACAAAATCTGCCCTTTGTCCTGTGGCAGGCTCCTGAGCCTCAGGTGAGTCTGGGTGATATACTCCCTGAGCCAAGACACTAGGCCTAGGCCCTATCCCACAGCATAAATAGACTCTGATGACACCCTGTGGAAGGCCTCACCATCCAGGGAGAGCAGAAAGGATATGTGATAGATAGGGTTTTGGTTGGAGGGGGTCGTAGGGGAGGATGGGAGGGAGAGGGAACTGAGATTGTCATGTAAAACAATTTTGTTTCTAATTCAAATAAAAAAAATTGCAAAAAAAAAAAGAATGCAGGCTCCATAAGAGTAAAATCTATATGTCTTGTGCTCAGTTTTGTATTCCCAACTCCTAGGTCAGCGAGCAATGAAAACTTGCTCAGTGAGTTGACTGAGTAAGCGAATGGATGAATCAACGGGCAGCCCCTTTCACATACGCATTCTTCTAGACTCACATGGGACACCAGGACTTCTGTCACTGAGTTGCAAGCTCAGTGCCTGAGGGACTCTAATCTGTTCACTTTATCCCCTTCAGAGGGACCGGATCAGAAATCCTCGTAGGAAGGCTTGGCCTGTGTTGTGTTTTCCTCCCCATCCTTTATCCCTCCCCTACCCCTCCGATTAGCCTTCTATAGGCATCCGAGGGCCCGGATGGGCCAAGAGTTTGCCAGGTACCATGCTATCCCTGGTCTGCTGAGCTTCGGACCCCAAAGACTTCTATTCCTGGAGAAGTCATGGCTTTGAGCCAGTGGTGCCACCTCACTCTTGATCTGCACAGACCAAGCCCCGCCTAGATCAAGGCCAAAAGAACTGCTATGTAACTGCCGAACCCTGCGCAGAACTGGCCTGGCTGGCCCACAGCCCTGTGAGAAGTGACCTGGAAGAGTGAGTGCAATGCCAGAGACTGCTGGCCAGGATGCAGACCCACAGCTGTGGTGTTCTCACCAGCATCACCCTGTGTGGCCAAACTGACACGTTTCCCTACATGCTGGGGAAATATAAAAGCCCGTGGGCCCGAGACACACTGCAAAGATGGAGGTCACTGGAAGGCTGTTCATTTGGGCCCTTTTAGCTGCCTGCTGTGGAGCACAGCTGAATTCGACGGAGGCTAAAGGTAAGAAAATTGAACTAGATTCTTCAACTCAAACATGGAAGACCTGCTTTTACCAGGCAGCTCCCAAAACTTGGAAAGCTTTCATATCTACCGCTGCCCTGATTACAGAGAATAACTTGCTTTTGTGCTCTGCAAGACTTTTGTTTTACTGGTCATTTCCTTGTAGCCCATGGGGTCGGGCTCATTGAAATAGAAAAGGCACAAACAATTTCACTGTGTAATTTCACTTTTAACAGCATATCTTAGGAAAGTAATCCTAAAGCTATATGCCTGCATGACATTTTTTAAAAATGTAAATTTCAGTTGTTAATTTTTTTTGAGGGTAAACCAATATAGAGATGTACATACTCTAGTAAATTCTAAGAAGTTACATATACAAGAAAGGGTGTGTATTTATTAAGAGGGAAAGTGTTGCTGGGCAGTGATGGCACACATCTTTAGTCCTAGCACTTGGGAGGCAGAGGCAGGCAGATCTCTATAAGTTCGAGGCCAGCCTGATCTAACAGAGTGAGTGCCAGAACAAGCTCCAAAGCTACACTGAGAAACCCTGTCTTGAGAAACCAAACCAAACCAAACCAAAAACAAAGAGGAAAAATGTCTAAAATTTTACAATAGGATAGTGCTTATGTCTAGAACTACACATGGAACATTTTTAAAATCTAAAAGAGAGGAGGAAAGGAAAGGACTGATAAATTCACAGCAGGGTTTTAATGAAGACGCTGATCCTGGGTAGGTGGGTTTGTGCTACCCTTTTCAATTAGTTTTCTTTTGCCCTGACAACTATAGAACAATATAGTTATTGTTAGGTAAGCAGAAGATTCATTCATCAATCAGAGATGTAAGAGAACATAAGAAGGTTTTTTTTTTTTTTCTAAATACATGGGGGTTTTGCTTATCTGTCTCATTTGGGAAATATATCTATTCGTGTTCTTGCTGGAGGTGCGCTCGTGCGTGAATGTGTGTGTGTGTGTGTGTGTGTTTTCATGAGGCAGGGTCTTACTACAAATCACAGGCAGCTTTTTTTTGCATGGGAACCTCCTTCCTCAGCCTTGTAAATGTTGCAGTTGTAAGCATATGCCTCCATACCTTGCTTTTCCCACTTTTAACTGGGTTCCTTGTCTTTAATTTTTTTCTACCTTTATTTATTATGTGTGTTCAAGCAGGTATGTCCTCACATGTTACAGTACTCAAGTGAGAGTCAGAGGACAACTTCCAGGAGTTGGTTTTCTCCTTCTGCCATGTAGCTTCTGAGGGTTGGATTTTGGTTATCAACCTTGGCAACAAGGGTCTTTACCCACTGAGCCATCTCACTGGCCTCGTCTTTCTTTCTTTTTTTTTCCCAATAATTTTATTAGATTTTATTATATAAAACAATTTTAACTTTAAACATATTTTGATCATATTCCCCACCTCCAAGTCCTTCCAGATCGTCTCTTCCTCCTTACTCACCCAACTTTAAGTTCCTTCTCAAAAAACAATCCCCAAACCCAATACAAAAACAAAACCTAGAAAACAAATACATCAAGATCCAAAGAGGAAACAACAACAACAAAAATCTGTAAACAAATAAAAAGCACACACAAAAAATTGTAGAGTCTGTTATACCTTGGTCAACTACTCCTGAACATAAGGCCTTCCCTGAAATGGCTGATATACCCAGTGCCACCCCATTAGAGAATACTGACGAATACTGACTTTTCCAGAAGATATAAATGACAATTCTGTTGTTAACCTTTACCCTAGTACCTAGATTTACATTCAGTTATTTAAAAAATAACAAAATAAAATAAAATATAAGATAAAACAAAAACTACCACACTCAAGTTGGACAGAACAAACCAACAGAAGGAAAAGAGTCCAAGAGAAGGCACAAGAGTCAGAAATCCACTAATTCACACAGTCAGGGATCCCATAAAAACACTAAACGGGAAGTCTAGCCTCATATTTAAACTATTTAACTGTAAGAACTCTATCTTATCTAGATAGGTCTTTCTTCAGGCCCTAGTATATTCCTTTTATAGACCACATGTAGAAGAATTACAATTTCTCCCCCAGGACACAAAAGGCAAACCCATTTATTGTGTCTTGGTTTGCAGCAACTGCAGTATTTTGCCAATATTCCCTGTGGGATGTTGAATCCTAGTGTCTTCTGGGGAGGCAGGGACCACTCCTTTCCTCAGTGCCAACTATGGTGTATCTACTAGGCAAATCAAGATGCACGGCCAATCAGGGAGGAGCCAATCTGGGAGAGACACACAAAGCCTTGGTCCTAAAGCTCAAAGCTGATGAGAACTGCACCTGGACCATAGAGAGACCTGAAAACAGGAGCATCAGAATCATCATCTCCCACACCCAGTAAGTGGAGACTTCAGTTTCTCAGGGAGGGTGCTGATTCTAGCCATGTTGGGGTGGGAGATGAACTCTCTGTGGAGGGAGCTCAGCTGCTTCTAGAAACTGAAGGGATCCCCATTATGATTATAATGATGATGATGGCTGCTGGTCATCACTGATGACTGGCATTCCAAAATCTGGGTCACACAGGTACTGTGAGGCCAGTGCTAGAGTTACAGATGCAAGGAGCTTGATAACTTGCAAAAGTTAGTCAATTAGTGCATAGAACCATCAAGGTTGACACCCAGCTAGTCTAGTTCTAGATTGTAGACTTTAAAATCTTAAACTGTGGCTCCAAATTCTGATGTACATTATAGCCATCATGGAAGCTTCCAAAAATCTTCAATCCCAGGCTGTGCCCTATAAAGTTAGATCACAGCTTTCAAGGGTGTGGCCTAGCTCTGCTAATTTTTGAAATTTTATTTTAAAGACAGCATCCATTATGTTTCATAATGCCCTTTCCATGCCATGTTAAGATCCTAGACTCTGTGTACCACAAAGCCTCAGGACTTCACAACATCTGCCCTAGTTGGTTTCTCAACACCCTTCTGTAGCAGGTGCAACCCAATTCAGTAGATAAGAAAGCTCAGATAAATCACTCTCTGGACCAACTCCATCAAATAATAGATGAATGAAGAGGATGGAATCAAAGCATCCTAGCTCTGCGGCCCCTGTTCTTACCACACTTAGGTGGTTCTCACTCTGTTGCTGCCAGAATCACTAAGAGGGTTCATTAAAGTGCACATGCTGGGCTATGTTGGGGTCATTATCTAATTTAAATAATGTAGGTGGAGCCTAAAAATCTGCGTAAGAAACAAATTCTTGGGTAACTCTGATGCTGCTGTTCCAGCCACCATACTTGGAGAACCAGGGCTCTACATTGCAGAAGGAGGAATTGACTGATCTTCAGTCAAATGCAAAGAAAGCAACTCACAGTCTTCCTGGAACAGTAGAGCTATTAGAAACCTAAATCTCCTCCACATTTTTTGATATATAAAGAGAAAGAGCAGAGTTGTGCTAAGAGCAAAACTCAGTAGGAATAAGACAAGATTCATTGGGGCAAATTCTTGTATATGAAGCCTATGGTAGATGCATATCATGAAGTTCATTTACAAAAGAGAAGACTGAGGTTTGAAGTGAAACAGGTTAAATTGCTTATCCAAAGCTATACATCAGGGAGATGCTTAAGGTGCAAGGGGAGTTCAGCTTCTCTGTGCTTGTAATATTGGCTCAAAGCCATCTCAGATATAGCCCCTCTGTGGGCATTTGGAAAGATCCTGACAGCATGGACAGGGCAGAAAATAGAAATCCTGGGCTGCCCTGCTCAGTGCAAAGCATTGGACCTTCAGAATAAGCCCATGGGGGGAGGAAGGGGCAGCTGAGGGATGCTTCACCAAAAGGTGGCCATGGAAAAAATAGAAATCCTGGGCTGCCCTGCTCAGTGCAAAGCATTGGACCTTCAGTCTAAGCCCATGGTGGGAGGAAGGGGCAGCTGAGGGATGCTTCACCAAAAGGTGGCCATGGAGGAGTTGATTTTCAGTAGGCTTAGGTATCAAAACTTAGTGAGGCTGGATGCTAAATTAAAAATTCTATACCAACTAGTCACCACGGAGGCACAGGAACAGGGGCAATGGAAAGGGGAAGAGGGCTGCAGCCCTGGATTCTAGGCCTGTTTTTCGAGCATTCACTGACTGTAAGGCTCTTGCAACTGAGTTCACTTTCCTGAGCCCATTAAGGTTGTGGTTTGATGTTGAAGGAGGGTGGGGCTCAGGACTTGCCTTGGAGAGGTTTAAATGAACCAGATTGCCCTCAATTTATAAACTGTCATGCTAATATGAAAGGGGACAATGCCACTTTGCTAGTGGCTCTTCTCCAACCACAGGTGTGTTGTGTTTGCAGGTTGGATCCAAACGGGAGGTGTGAAAGTGAAAACATCAAGGTGTTTGATGGAAGCTCCACTGACGGGCCTCTGCTAGGGAAGGTCTGCAGTAAAAATGACTTCGTGCCTGTATTTGAATCGTCATCCAATTCGCTAACATTTCAGATAGTCACAGACAGGACAAATATCCAAAGAAGTGTCTTCATTTTCTACTACTTCTTCTCCCCTGGTACCTGTAAGTTGTCTTTGGTACATCCTTTCCACAGACCTCAGCAAGCACAGGTTACACAGTTCCTGCTGGGGACAGTGTGCTCTTGATTCTGTTCTCCCAGGAGAAAGGCAATTCTCCAGTACTGTGTATAGAAATTGAGATTCAGTCACTACCTTTGAAAATCCGATTCTTTGGCTCTGGGGGAGCTCATGGCGTTTTCCCTCTAACCAATTCCCTGGAGAGGCAGATTTGACTCAGCAGATCCCTATAGGTTGACAGTTGCTGTGTCGGTGCCCAACAGAGAGACTCTGTTCAGCCTGTTTAGTAATTTGAGGCCTCTGTGACACCTGTCAGGGACCAGACTCCCCGGTCTGATTCATTAAATGTGGGCTGAGGCTCTTGAGCCGTTATATCTATCAGGTTCCCGGAGGTGATTCTGACAAGAATGGGGAGCACATGTGGAGTGAGGCTCATGCAGTTTTTAGGTAGTCAGATGTTACCTGAGTCTACATACTTGGCCTCCATTCCAGTTTGACCTCAGTAGAATGCCACAGACTGGAGGCAGCAGGTTCACAAGGAGAGCTTCACTCTGGATGTTGTGAAAGAGCTGATCTTGACACTGATATCTTATGATAAAGAAACACCAAGGTGGGGACATCAAGCTCTTCTGGAGCTAGACCCAGGCCACCTCCTCACACTTGATGTGGAGACCCTATCTGACATGGGTCCTATGAGTTAACCAACCTAAACTATTTTATACCTCCCTAGGGGACTTCAGTTTACTTTGTGTTTTCTTTGCCATGTTGCCCACTACTGTACCTACAGTGGCAGGGGAAGACTAAAAAAGATTGCATCTGAGATGAGCTTTGAGTACTAGCATGACTAGGGTAGGGAGAGGAGAGAGTAGCAGAGAAGGACTCTGTATTGAGCCCAAGCAGACACGCTGAGAAAGGGCAGTCTGGAACAGCAGCTCCTACGCTGGTAGCCAGTGAGACTAGACAGCGATAGTCAGTGAAGAGCCTCCAGCACTAGCTCTGAGGATGTAGCTATGTTCTGCAGCTCTGTACTGGTGGTGCAGGGTCTCTCTAGCCAGTTCAGATCACTTTAGTATGATCCATTTGACAGCAGGGCAAGGAGGCACTCTCAGGTACGCCAAAGGCAAAAGGTCTGGTGCTACGAGAAGATGAAAGCTTCAAATGTGGCCCACAGAGAAAACAGTGGTGTGACACTCAGGGAGGACATGATAAGCCTTGTAGAAAAATGACAGCCATCTTTGTATCTTCCCAGCTGTTCCAAACTGTGGTGGTTACCTGGACACTTTGGAAGGATCCTTCACCAGCCCCAATTATCCAAAGCCACACCCTGAGCTAGCATACTGTGTGTGGCACATACAAGTAGAGAAAGGCTATAAGATAAAACTGAACTTTAAAGAGATCTTGTAAGTATTGTGGTTCACTGTAGTGACCATCAGCAACTAGGGGACCAATGTGGGGAGGAAAAAAACCTCATGCCCCCATCATGGGTACTTTTCAGAGAACCAATGTAGAAAGGAAAACATGTATCAGTGCTGTTGACTATTTTTTTTTTCTGGAGATTCTGAGGTCCCATGCAGGGACTGACAAAGTTCCAGGTTTGTCATCACAAATCTGAGCTGTCATTGTAAGGAAAAGTTGTTCATGACTTTGGAAGGAATGATGGACAATAGAACTGAATTGGTTTGAAAAGCTTTTTACATTGGAGGACATCCTTCTTAGCCTAGAGGTGGACGAAAACTGCCGATTTGATTTCATCGCACTCTATGACGGCCCCTCCACCACATCTGGTCTGCTCAAACAAGTTTGTGGCCGTGGGCAACCTACCTTCGAATCTTCCTCAGACTCCTTGACTGTTGTGTTATCTACAGATTATGCCAATTCCTACAGAGGCTTTTCTGCATCCTATACTTCAATTTATACAGAAGATGTCAACACTAGTAAGTTGCTTTTCATGACCATTAAGCTATTTTGAGCTATTTGATGATTACATACATAGACCCTGCTCCTTAATTCTTAGTCTGCATGTGGCTAGCCTTGTTTGCCAGCCTGTGCCATGTATTTGGAGAATATAGCTAAACAAGAGGCTTGAGGATCTGTTCTGTGCCTTGCTTACAACAGGAGGAAGTAAATGACTCCATTAAACTAGAAATTATTTCTGTCGAATGCAGGGTCTGGTTGGCTTAATGTCTTCTGTAATGACAGAATTTTAAAGAAATATAATAATTGGGGAAGAAGAGGCTATGAATTTGGGAGTGGAGGCATGGAAAGAGTTAGAGGGAGGGCATTTGGGAGGGGCTTAGGGAATGAATGGAAGAATGGGAAAAGTGATATAACTGTATTATAATTAAAATGTAAAAAAATTAGATGTATAGATTATAGCTCTAAACAAGGTAGCAATGGGCATTGTGAAAAGTTCACCAACTACTTGGCTGTGTTAGTCTTCTGCCTACTATTAAGGTATTGTGAGTTCAGATATTTGTTTATTTTGTGTGT